GCCCGCGTGTTTCTGGAGGTCGGAGCCGGTGGGGAGCCCTTCCAGCCTCCCGGCCGCTGCCGGGGAGAAAAAATTTCGATTTCCTCCCGACTCTTGGCCCCGCAGTGCGTTCCAGCCGCGCTAGCGCTCTCTCCCGCACCGGGTCCACTGATGCCACGCGCTGTAACTTTTCTTTTCAACCTTTCTGGACTCACCCACAGTCAGAAGCTAAGCCCAGCTCGCCTTACCCCTTTCTCACCTCTGAAATTGTTAATCCAGATAGATCGCTCCTCTTCCACTCTGCTAAAGGTAGCTTTCTTTTAGCCAGAGGATCTGGGGGTATATCAGTGCTTTTTCTTTTAAATTCTCACTCCGTGTTTTTCCTACCTAGAGACATTCAGGGCAATACGTTGACTAGTAACTGCTGACACAAGCAGATAAGGGGGTGGGGGGTGGGGGGAGGGAAAGGTATCTCCCAGCCAAAAACTGAGTCTCCAGGTTGGTATTTCCCTCAATAGATTGCAGTTCACCTGGGAATAGAGACCAAAAGGCTGTTTAATGTGAATGCCACGCAGCTTTTAAACGACAGAGAGGAGTAAAAAGCTGAGCATTAGGCTGAGTTGAGAAAGGTCTAATGCAGCAATCTACGAACCATTCATTGCCCTTTCCAAGAGAAGCATTATCATCGCCAATATATCACTTGCCCATAATTAATAAAGGAGCATTGCACCAGGCCCTTCCCTCTCCTGACAACTCATTCATCCTTCCAACCCCTTAATGACTTGGCAGGATGAAAGGCCAGACCTACTGTGGAGTTCACAAACCTGGCTGCACATCAGACACACCTGGGAAGCTTGTTAAAAATGCACATTCTAGACTCCCACCCTGACACTGCTGTTGGAGATCTCAAGGGGAATCCAAGTTGGCCTTTTTCAAAGCTCCAGTGGAGATTCACCGCTGGAGTGGTTGGCCAAGGTCTGGGGGCTCAAGGGTAGTGTACAGGAAGGATGGAGCTGCGGAGCCCAGGGTGGGAACCAGTTTCTTAGATCCCCCCCAGTACTTACAGTGCGGCTCTGGGACAGCCAGGTACTAGGAAAAGAGCTCCTGCCTCTGGAGATCCCCCAGTTTGATGAAGAAAGGGTAAGTGACCCTTCTCAAACTAGATGTCAGTGTCTCTCAACCTGCAGCACCTCAGAATCTCCTGGGGAGCTTTTAAAAGTCCCAGTGGTTAGGCCACACCTCTGACAGATTTACTCTGTGAGTGTGTGTGTGTGCGTGTGTGTATGTGTGTGTGTTTTCCCTGGTTGATTCCCATAAGTAACCAAGGCTGAGAACTACAGTTCTAGGCCAATACTCCTCAAGCCTAAGTGTGCCTGTGGGAATTGCCTTTCTTAGGTTTCTTAGGCCGTAGATGGGAGCAGGCCTGGGTCTCCACTTTTAGTAAATTTCCAGGCCATGTCTATGCTGTGTGGATAGACTTGGTGAGGTTTAACTGTGTTCAACTAGTGGCCCTGAACATGGTGTGTTAGCTGCACTGGCTAGTGGGCATGACCAGAACCGGCTGCAGGAAGACACAGGCTGTCTACAGTTATCCTCAGCAAAAACTGACTTAGGGGCTTGACTTTGTCAAGGGAGTTTGAGAGGCAGACATTTGACTCATTGTGAGGCTTAGAAAGAGACTTAGAGAAAACTGACTGCTTCTTAAATGACACAGAGAAAAACATCTAACTAAAGGCTCCACCCATAGAAAATAGGACAAAGACACATGATGAGCTGAGTGAAAGAGCTAAATGAAAATGTGAGTGGACTCGCTCTCCTTGGAATAGATTTTGTGGGAAAACCATGGCTTGTTAGCCCTATAGTGGACCACTTAGTGAGACTCAGATGGTCTCGAAAATGTAAACATGCTGTGACATAGGGGGACGGAGCCCTGTTCTTCTCTGTCTCCATTTCATTGGTGCCCACATTCTTGTCCACAGCTGAGACACTGCTAGGTCTTGGTCCTCTTTATTCTTCCCCCACCCCCTTTCCAATCTAGGCTAATATTTAGGCTCCTTTGGACTCTTGGGAAAAAGCCTACATTAAGTGGTTCTTTCTTCACCTAAAACTATTAAAAGGCAGGATAGTGTCTAGTGATTTGGCACTTTTTTGGCACTTGTTTTGATTTGGCTAAATTTCTGAGCCCCTCGTTGTTATGTTTTGTGTGTGTGTGTTTTTTTTTTTCCTTTCATTTTTTCATTAAAGGTATCTTTGTAAGAATCCCAAGGCCCTGAGGCAAATCAAACCTTTTGCTCCCTCTTAAATGTCATACATGACTGAATTTTTATTGCAAGAATTATCAAAGGCTACATCACTGGCACCAGGCTCTAGGCTCTAGGTAAGGAACTAGTGAGGCTGTTGCTGCTGGTTTTGGAAAGAAGAAATACTGTAAGCAGGAAGATGGCGCTTCACATTCGAAAGGTGCATTACTTGTATTAGCGACTATCGGTGACCATTCTTTCTTTTAGAGTGGAGATTCAGAATTCTGGGTCACTGTTCTCTGTCCCAAGCACTAAGGCATGACAAAGTTGGGGACTTTTTCTGAGATATCACTAAGTCTGATTATGCTCTAAGTATGAACTATTCCCTACATTCCTTGAGAAGGCCTTTTAGCAAAGTCAATCCAAAGCAAGTATAAATACTGTGAATTAAGATCTACTTTGTTGTCCAGTTTACACAAGAAATAAATATAAGATCAGGGTAAACCAAGTTTTTTTTTTTAATTATTATTATTTTAAACTGAATGAAAACAAAGAGGATTTTGCCTTACTACAATAATAAAAAAGAAAAGCAAAATTAGCATTCAGCACTTTCTCCCCAGCAGCCTTCCAAAGGCAGAGTCACTCTGAGCAGCCCATGCAGCACCACCATGCTCCTTCCCTGTGATCTACCTTAACCAGACCGAGTGTTATGTTAATCTGGATTTAGCTATATGCTAATCTTATTTTAGGTTTTGTGTTATTTGAAATGATTTGATAAGTTATTTTCTGCAAATGCCCAAAATCTTTTCTTATACACTAATGGTGATTTTCCTTTGCTTTAAGCCATTGTGGGTCGAGGGGGGAAAAAATATATTGCAATGTTTTCGTTCAGTTAACAAAAACAGGTATTAAAGTGAAGGGATATAATGCAAACATTCATAAAGCGAGGATTGCCTATATTATGAAATCAAGCACTGAATAAATACAGCAACAACAAAAAAGAAAAACAAAAACATAAGCAGTGCCCCTTACCTAAGTAATTTAACATCAAAACAAAAAGAATTACATAAAATGCCTGTTTTCCTCATGATGGAAAATTATTGCCTTGTCAGTAAAGTATTAAATAATAAAAAATACTTGGTTTACCCTGACCATATATACTTTTCTACTGTAAACTGGATTAACAAAGTAGTCTTAATTAACAATACTTATATTTGTTTTGGAAATGACTTGCTAAAATGCTCTATGTTCGAATATGGAGGAGACCTGTATAGCAGGAGCCACCCCCACCTCATTTCCTACTGCGCCCACCTTCACTACCACGGCTCAACTGTCTGCTCACTTGTGGCCTCAGTCTGATTCTTATTTGTACATAAGAAGGGATTGTAGCAGCCAGCCGGCCTGGTCAGCAAGTAGAGCTCAGCATTAGTCCTTTTGCCACACCTGAAAACCTCGGGTGGCCACTGGCTCCATATGGCCCTTAGGCTTTCTTTGCTGCTGATTGGATCTAGGGAATTTTGCTTCAGGGGTGACTGGAAAAATCTTTGTTGACTTCTAAGTGTCATTGTTCCTCCTTTCTCCAGTCTTGTCCCTGCAGTTCCATTTTGACTTCTCCGTATTATTTTAGCCAGCTGAACACCACCCTTGAGTTCTGTCCAGTAACGGGGCCTGTTACTGGGTGTTAGCAGCCTTCCCAGGAGACTTACAGTTGAAACCCATCCTCCCCTGTGTTCCATCACCCACTTCCTCGGACTGTGTCAGTCTTTGGACAGCAGAGGCCTGCACTTCTGCATTTGAGCACTGATAGTCACACCCTGACACTTTCATTTTCCATTCCTGCCCCTTGTTAAAGGACACGTCTAGTTCACATCCCACAGTTTCACTAATGGTCATGCTACCGATGAGTGACTCAACAGAAGAATTATTATCTGGGTCACAACAGAGCTTGTGAAGAGTAAAGACTCTGAGGTTAGAAAATCTGGGTTTGGATTTCACATCTGGCAGCGTGACCTTGGAGAAGCTTCTTAACTTCTCTGAGTCACACTATTTTTGTCTGAAAAAACTAGATCGTGAATTTCCTTTAAGGAGCTATGGGACAGATAAAATGTATATATTGTGCTTGATATAGTTTCTGATTATATTAATTATTCAATAAATGGTTTTGTTGTTATCATTATCATTGGTAAAGGTCCATAAAAAGGACATGTGTAATGTGAAAAAAAAAGATCACTATATTTAGATTCTACAAAACAAAGTCATCTCATTATTAATAATTATTATGCTACCATTTTTGTTATACAGAGTTCTATGCAATGCAGAGCCCAAGAATATAGTCGCCTTTACTCTATGAGAGTACTTCCCCTCTACATAATGAAAAAAGCTACTTGTGTATTTTCTTGTTTTGTAAGTATAGAGGTGGGTACGTGGCTGATAAAGGGTATATCACTGGGTCATAGTTTTTCTTGTTACTTATGTCCAGGTATCAACTTGATCCCCTCTCCATTATAATCTGAGTACATAATTTGCCAGACTTGTTTTCAACAAAATCACTACAATGAAGATAGTGCTTGCTACATTAATTCTACTAATAGGGGAGGGACCTTCTTCATAGGACATAAACTTCTTCAATAGATTTGCACAAACTTTCCTCAACATTGATTCAAGCACTTTCCATCAAAAAACAAAACAAAACAAAACAAACAAACAAACAAAAAAAACCCACACTCCAAAGGCACAAAATGATGTAAAAATAAACTATTATTAAAAACAAACAAACAAACAAAAAAAAAAAACTCCACCAAAGCAAAGGAGTATCTGTACCAAGCTACTGTTCCTCACAATCCAGCTCTAAGCTATGTCCATGAGAGGCACTGTAGCTTTCTCAATAATTCTTTTTACTGAGGCATCTTCCATAAGATATGACTCCTTCTTCAACTGCTGGCCACAGATTAGAAGCTTCTGAGTACTACCAATAATTAGTGGTTTCCTTAATACCCAGTAGCCCCTGGAAATGGCCTCAACAAAGATACCTCAGGGTGAAATAATCTGAAGTCATGGGTGTCTTAATCCATAGTTATGAGTATAGTGATT